AGACAATTGGGAGAAGATTTATACGCAAAATCAGAGTCTGCACATGTTACTTTTTGGGAAATTTTAATTAAAATTTTTATGTTACAAATCAATTTTGGAAAATTAATCAAAAATTTTAGGAAAAAATAATACATATCATATTTACTAATTTCATTTAAGGAGAAATGGTCAAAATGATCATAAATAAGTTAATATTTTCCCCATTTTATTCTCATTTCACAACTGAACAAATATATTCATAAATGATCAATTATAACTTTTCTAAATTAATAAAAAAAAAAAATATAGGCAAAAAGAGAAACAAGGGGTAAATGAGCATTAACCCATTGGGATATAAATCAAATCAATACAAATAAAAACTTTATTGGAACACTTCTAAAATTAAACAAAATATTGTTAAAAAAATATATAGTTATGGTGATTTGACAAAAAATTTCAAGCTTTTCCAACAAGAAAAACTTAATTCAAACATACTATTTTGTTATAGTATAAAATTTAAATTTTTTTTTGTTATTCGTAATTCAAAATCTATTTTTTTGTTATAGTATAAAATTTAGAAAATACCAGTATATAACAATTAAAAAGAAAATGAGGATGAGTATTGGGCCGTGGGCATGTTTGATTACAAAATAAAAGAGAATTTTGGTTTGACATGATTGGGCCGTGGGCTTGTTCTTTTCTTTTTTAGATGAAAAATAATAAAGAAGCAAAGTGTCGATAAAGGTAAAAATAATGAATTGTCAAATCAAATTGTTTTGGATAATTTATTCTAAATGAATGGTATAACAAACTAATATTAAAAAGAGGAATTTTCACATATAGCCACTCAAAAATAGCCTAATTACTCTCCATAGCTATAGTTTGATAATTACAATTCGTAGTTACATGTTATAGGGAGGAGAGAGGCGAGCGAGACTGGAAGAGAGATGTCACGCCCCGAGCCTACACCCTGGGCGGGACCGGCACCGGGAGACCATTGCTGGCCCCAGGCGAACCCTTGGCCTGGCTTTCTTAACTCAGCGGAAGCCTAACTCAACAGAATAACTCAATGTCATGCAAAGACATAAACAACTTAACTAATAAAAATATGGCCCAAAGGGCAACTCGAGTCTCAAAATAGAATATTTACACATATATACATGTACATGGATGAGAGACCCAAAACTAAATGACTGATTGTCTGACTGTCTATTGAAGCCTCTAATATACTGAGATGGATGTGGGGACAGACCCCGCAACATCCTAATAGAACAAAACTAAGTACACGAAATAATTGAGTCCTCCGAAATGCAAGGAGGCTCACCACAGACTCTGGAGTGCTCAGCTGGATCAACGACGCGCAGGATGCTGATCCGGGGTACCTGTATCTGCATCATAAGACGATGCAGGCCAACTGGCATCAGTACATGGAATGTACGAATATGTGAGCTGGAAAAGCTGAACCACAACTTAAGCTTGAAAGGAGAACAGGAGATCACTTACCTTGACTCTGAACAACTCATATAAATAACTGGACTCAAAGTAAAGCAATAAGACGCAAGCCATACATAATAATCTGGTAAAAGAATGTAAACAACTTAGGTCGTTAAGGATAAAATGATAACAAACTCAACTTTTCTTTTATAAACATAATACAGCTTTTGTGGGAGGTTCTTTAACCGACAACCACCACTACGAGCCTTAGTGATGATACAACGTTTTACCTCACGTTGCCAAAGGACCATCCTATACCTTGCCATCGATATAGGACCTTACTTTTGCTTAGTGGATCCACTAGCCTAATCTTACGTGATCATCTAAAAAGAATGATACGACAAGTCCCATGTTGGCGCATGGTTCTTATGGAGAGTTGAGTTAATATGAACTCGTGTCCCCAATTCGGTGCTCAATACTACTCCCAAAAATACTTTGGCTCATGCTTTTAAAATAACTTCTCTCTTTGATTGAGATAATTACTCAAAACTTTAGCCCAAAGGCTCCTTTGGGGAAAGAAAACATGATTCCCTTCTTATTCAAATATAATAGCATTTACAACCTCCTTTGGGAATACTTAGTTCCCTAATAGTTTTTAAAAAGAGAACTTAACTTTAAACTCATGACTTAACTTGAAACTGAGACCCTTGCTCGACTTGAAACTATCTTTCCTTGAATCGGAATTATGAATTCAAGGTGTTCGATCACATGTTATGGAAGGATTCTTGAACGCTTAGACGCACTTTGGAACGTCGAAAACAACTATAAAACATAGGTGAATTACTTTGGAACATGCATGAGAAAGTGAGAAAAGAAGAGGGGAAACTTGGCTGAGACTTCAGATTTCTGGTGACACAGATGGGACTTACGGGTGCCATCGACGGACCGTAGATGGACTTACGGTCCGTACTGCAGGTCCGTGGATTGCGTCAGAGATTTTCCCCAGAATTCATTTAAGAAAATGACTAAGTGTTGACCTACGGTCCTGACTTACGGTCCGTAGGTCAGGCCACGGACCGTAGGTCGTGACCGTAGATCGATGCCCCAAAAACCAACTTCTGTTCCGATTGACGGTTGACCAGTACGGACCGTCGATCGATCTACGGTCCGTAGGTCAGTCCCGTAGATGGGGATCGACAGCCCAGAAATTTCTGCAAATCGATGGTGGATCAACCTTTAAAGGGTCAAAGCTCTTAGAATCACAATCCCCTCAACATACAATAGGTTTTAACTTAATGCACAACCCAATCAAGCCTCACAACGAACAATAACTTCAACAACCTCAACAACAATATCAACAACAACTAACAACTTCGACACTTCAACAACAATTCCCAATCTTTTCTCAAAGCATAGAATAAACTTGGTATGTGTGAGGGAAAGGATCAACCCACACGAAAAACTCACATACCTTGATAGGGATCACCCCCGACGAAAATCCACAATGGTCTTGACAAATCTCCTCTTTCTTCTCTTCTTCTTCTTCTCCTTCTTCTCTTCTTCAATCTCAAGAACCCTAACTCTTCTCTTTCAAAAATGGGACAAAAATGATCCAAAGATCATCCTAATACAACAATATGAGCTCAAAAGAATTGGCTAGGGAAAAGACTAAAATGCCCTTAATGATTCCCGGACGGATTTCCTTGTCAATTGCCCAACTTTCAAAGGTCATAACTCCCTCATACGAACTCGGAATCGAGCAAACTCGGTGGCGTTGGAAAGGTCGTTCCACGAACTTTGCAACCATAACTGGAATTCCACCTAACTCATCCTGAGCTAGAATTTATGGCTGTTCAAAGTTGGCCAAAATTTCACATTTTCCATACTTAGCCAAAATTTCCAAAACTTTAAATTCTTTCCAAAAAAAATGAAAATTTCCAATTCTAAGCCTCTTCAATTATTTCATATTGCTGGATGTTACAAGAGAGGAGAGAGGCGAGCGAGACTGGGAGAGAGAGGATAAAGGCGAGCAAGAGAGGGCAAAGATCAGAGAGAGGTAAATTGTATATGTATATCGGTTAGATAATTGTATATATGCATTTGTATATATGGCAAGCGAGATCGGGAGAGGGAGGAGAGAGGCGAGCGAGATTGGGAAAGGGAGGAGAGAGGCCACCGAGAGAGGGCAGAGAGTGGGAGAAAGGTGAATTGTATATGTATATCGGTTAGATAATTGTATATTATACATAATCATAAATCAAGTGTTGCGGAGGCTTCTTCTTCTTACTTAAATTCAAGTGGTCTATAGTAAAGCTAGGGTTATTGATAAGACTTCCCCAATTTTTGCATACACATTTGAATCTTAGCAACGATTTCACAGGCAAACTCAATAGAATCTATCTTAATGATTCTTCAGAAAAAGTCCTACGCGTAGCCATTGTAGTACCACACAAGAAAAAATCCCCCAAAATAAATGAGATATTATTCCAAAATCAAACAGATCTAAACACACCTTTCATAGGAAGCCTCGAGTTGTTTGATGAAGAATTCGCTGAGTGATCGAAAAGAATTTTGCAGTTAATTTGGCTCCACCGGTGATGGACCTTACGACAGTTTGGTGGTGGTTGAACGGTAAAGATACGCGGTAATTGGAAGAGGAATGAAGCAAAGGTTGTTTATACAATTGGGAGAAGATTTATACGCAAAATCAGAGTCTGCACATGTTACTTTTTGGGATATTTTAATTAAAAATTTTATGTTACAAATCAATTTTGGAAAATTAATCAAAATTAAGTTGTATTCAAATTTGATTTTTTTCCATAACTATACCTTTTTAAAACACTTTGTACATTTTTACCCCAATGATGGCACTTCTGGGCTTTTGACATGAAGCTTAAGCACATGTATCGGCCAAGTAAGTTTGAATTAAGTGTCACAATGAAGTTTTTATTTGTATTGATTGATGTCTCAATGGATTATTGCTCATTTCTCTTTCTCATGTCTATATCTTTTTTTATTACTAATTTAGAAAAACTATATTGGCCATTTATGAATATATTTGTCTTGTATATATATATATATATATATATATATATATATTGTGAAAAGAGAGAAGGAAAAGTGTAGCATATATATTAACTTGTTACACCATTCATCATTTAGAATATATTGTTTAATTTGACAAATCATTAATAAATTCAAGGGTATTATATATGACGTTCAACTTATACAATCTTTACTTATAATAACAGCCCATCAAATCTATTATATATTCAAATCCTTCTTCTCAAATTAACACACGAGGGAGCTACATTTGTGATGACAAACTTTCAATGTAGAATTGGTCAGTGGTACTCATGCTTCCGACCCTGCAAAAACTCAAAATCGTCCACATATATAATATAATAATGATTAAGTAAGTGCATATATATATCATCCACAACATAATAATAGTATTATTAATATTAGTAAAATGTAACCATCATCGATCAACTATATATTATAATATTGTTTTAAAAGCTAGGAACATAGACGACAGAGATTTATATATATATATATATATTAGTCTCCGATCCGATCTTTGATAATTAAGCTTCCTTGCCTGAAAATTAATTAAGAAAAGAAAAAAAAACAAATAGTTAATATAATTACATATATGCTAGGGATGGGAGTATAGTATATATTAATAATATTTTACGTACGTACGTAGACTAATAGGAAATATGAGATTTTGATCGTCTACTCTACCACAACCTCTTGTGGCTGTACTTTTGGGGCAAGATATGAATGTGTTGAGCGATTTGTCCAAACAGAAGTGAATTTGCTTCAAGAAGAAGACGTTAGAAGAAGTGGCCCGCTGATGATCACATGAGATGTAAACATCAATATTTTTATCTTTTAACACTTGTTCAGAGATAAATGTCTTCATACCCATTACGGTGTAAGCAGGATGATTTTTCGGACCCATTTTACCATTCTCTAATATTTTAAGCATATCTTTCAGTCGTCTCGCAAATGTTATCGCCCCATTAAAATATTCAACATCTGGGACGATTTCTGATGTGCAATACCCATGCTTGGCCCACTCATGCTTCCATAACTTTTCGTCAGTCCAGCGAGCCTCCAAAGAAGGCCAATACAGCCCCAAGAAATTCTTTAGGCTCCTGTCATTTAACCACTGTATATAATATAATATAATATAATAGTATTAGAAATATTATATATATAGAAATAATAAAATTAATAATTATACATGCACGTGTCGTACCACTTTTTCGACCGTCGTTGGATTTTCAGGAACATTACACGTAAAAGGAGTGTGACCTGTAGCATTCCCTGGCCAAAGGCCATGGATTGAGAAATCCGACATTTTTACGGAGGGCTTGCACGGTTTATCTGGCCTCCCACAAAAGGTTGGAGGCCATTGCATAATCATCTGCATATGATGGTAATTAGTTATTGGTGGTTTAGTAATTAATTCAGACGATGCACTCATAATTATTATTATTATAACAGTAGCAAACAACATCGTCAAGCAGTGGCGGAGGGAGGATTTTCATCAAGGGGGTTCAAAAAAAAAGATTAATCACATAAATAATAGGCACATACATATATCTAAAAACTTAAATAGATCATTACAATTGTACTCTACGAGGTTTCATATCTTGAAATGTCTTAATAATAGCATCATTAGGAATACTATCAAATACATCTTTTTCTACAAAAGGCACCAAACAACCACTAAAAAAATCATCACTCATTTGACTTCGCAAGTCATTCTTGATAAACTTCATTGCCGAGAAAGCTCTTTCAACGGATGCAGTGGCAACTGGTAGAAGTAGAGCAAGTTTCACTAAGTGGAACACCAAAGGATAATTTGAATGTTTTTTTGTTTGGACTAATCTTTTGGAAAGATCACAAAGTCCATTTAGATCAGAGAACCTTTCATCAACATCACGAACATCAACAATGTAACTTGCAAGTTGATTCTCAAGAGTATCCATATTAAATTCATCAAAATCATCTGGATATAATTCAGCCATCCTCATTATTTTTTTGCTGTCAAAACTTGAAAACGAGTTAATTGGATTCAAACAAGCAATTCCATGGAGCAAATCAGTAGATACCTCATTAAAACGATCATTAAGCTCTTGAAGTTGCCAATCAATAATATTGCAAAACACTTCAACACGGTAATGATGTAAGACTGTATAGTGAGCAAGTCTTCGCCGTGATCTTAAAGAGCTAACATATGGCTCCTCAAAGTTAGGTATCAAAATTTCATGTTTGGTACAAAATATAGATACCTTAGCAATAAGAGAATTCCATTCATCATCCCTTAAAACTTGCAACCTTTTCTTTGCTACTTCAACAAGTAGCATGGCATTTGCAACATCTTGCTCCTTTCTTTGTAAGCATTTATTGAGCTCATTTGTGATTGCTAATACATCTCTCATCAAATGCAACATGAACGCAACCTCAAATGTTTGACAAGATTCAAGATGTCCCATTGCCTTGGCTCTTTCATCCATACTTCGTGCATCAAGAGCAAGTGATTCAAGAACTTCAACAATAGAGCCAAACATAAGAATAAAATTGTTAAAGGATTTATAATGAGATCCCCAACGAGTATCACAAGCTCTTAAAAGACCAAGTTGTTGATTCAAGCCCCTACCGGTTGTCAATTCACCCATATCTAATGCATCTTGAATTGCTGCTTTTTGAGAATCTCGTAAATCATCCATACGCTTAAAAGAAGATCCCAATACATTAAAAATATTTGAGACCAATACTACAAGTTTTCCCACTTCAACACACTTTTTAGAGATCCCAACAAGAGTTAGTTGAAGTTGATGAGCAAAACAATGTATAGAATGAGCCGATCTACTTTCTTGCCTAATCAACATTTTAAGTCCATTGACCTCACCTTGCATATTGCTTGCCCCATCGTAACATTGTCCACGCACACGTGATGGACTCAAAGAATGTTGAGCAAGTAAATTAATAATTGTCTCTTTCAAGGATAATGCACTAGTATCTTGAATATGAATAATGTCAATAAGTCGCACCATCACGAATCCCATTCTATCAACATATCGTAATACAATAGCCATTTGCTCCTTGCGTGAAATATCAAAAGATTCATCAACTAGTAAGGCAAAGTAATCACCATTTAGTTCCTCGAGAATAGCTTTAACTGTTTCTATCTTGCATGCAGTCACAATATCTTTTTGAATTATTGGAGAAGTCATTTGATCATTTTGAGGGGCATGTTCAAGTACATAATCATGAATTTTATCACATCTTTTTGCATACCATGAGAGAATCTGAAGAAAATTACCCCTACTAAGTGATGATTTAGATTCATCATGACCTCGAAATGCAAGTCCTTGAGTTATGAGAAGTCTTACTACATCAACCGAAACACTTAAGCGGATATAATATCCATGTTTAATTTGATTAGATTGTCTCTCAAATGCAGATTGAATCGACTGTTGTTGCCGTAGTAAATCTTGACATTTCTTTTTTGATCGATTATGTGGGCTATTTTGCAGACCAATATGCTTGTCAAGACCACTCTTTTTATTCCAATTCTTAAATCCTGTACATGAAAATACTTCGCCTCCACCTTGATTAATATTGTGATCTTTAAATAGATAGCAATACAAACAATAGGCTGCATCTTTACTAACACTGTACTCCAACCAATCATGATATACATCATCAAACCATTCATGATTAAAACGACGCATTGCTCCAGAAATATTTGTTTGAGGGTACTCATGCACCTCCAAGCGAGGTTGACAAGGACCATTCACAAGGTATGCCCTTCTAATAACATCACGATGATTTGGATGATAATTCAATATTGGAGTTCTTTCACCGGGATCAAACTTTAAAGTACTCAAATCAAATTCTTGAGAAGAATGTGATGGTACTTCAGAATGATTGACATTTTCTTCTTGGTTAGATTGACTATGACTATGAGAGGCTAAACTGGATTTCGATATTGGGGTAAAATACTTCTTCATTGAATATTAAGACTGGATTGTAAAGTAAAAGTTTAGTTAGAATTTAAGAGAAATAAACACACATTCAAAAGTCAAAACTATTAAAAAAAAAAACATACACACAAGAAGGACCAAAACCAAAAAGCTTAAGCAATGGTTATTGGATTATTACATTATATTTCTCTATCTCTCCAATTTTAGATTAAGAAAATATATTAAATTAGCCAAACAAAAAAAATGAAACTTCAATGATATCAATAATTCAGCCAACTAAAAGAAAGCATATCAAGAAATAATGAAATAAGGTATATAGAAATCTAGTAAGAAAAAAGGGAACCAAAAACATACCAAAGTAATTATTAATGGAGATGAAAGAAACGATTGCGGATATAGACTTCAAGATTTCAATAATGACCAAGCAGCAGTGACAAGGAGCAGCCAGCAGCAGCCTGTAGTGACAAGCAGCAGCCAGAGCAAGGAAGAAGAACAATGAAAAAAAAAAACGTGAAAAAATCCTAAAAGAAGAAAAGGTTTTTTAATATTTGACTTTGTAATTAGGGATTATCAGGTTTTTAATAAAGAAGAAAAGGGCTTTTTAATATTTGACTTTATAATTAGGGATTAAACTAATAAATCTTAAATTCCCGCCTAAAATAAAAGGCTGATAAAAAATTGCCTCTGTTCGGATTCGAACACGCGACCTAACGGTCAGGAGCGCGAATTCTTGAACCCCCAACGCCGCTGAGCTACGCCTTTGGTGTATGTTCAGGGGATTCAATATTATATATATACACATAAATAAAAAATTTAATCGTATATATATAGTGTAATTTTTCGACGATGGAGGTTCGGATGAACCCCCTTGGTTCAACGTAGATCCGCCCCTGTCGTCAAGTACTCCATATTTTATCTATCGATATGCATCTCTCACTCATCTATTTATACTAACATTATCAACTCGATCTTAAATACAACATACTCATTTACTCATAACCAAATATGTCTATCCACACTACACAACTACCAGTCAGAAAAATCCTTATTTTAGCCCTACCTACCTACTAATATTAATTCTTCAATTCAATATATATATATATATATATTATATATATATATATATATATATATATATATAAAAAAATTGTATCCATCTCTTTTGTGACATCAGCCACGACTGATATATATCAATCATATCAATAAATCATACATCTTTGTACTAAGTTTAGGTAAACAGTTATGTGTATATATGTATTAAGTTTGATACAAAATTATTATTATTTGTGGTGAAAATTTTATAAATGACATGTATAAGACTAATAATTTCAAGTTATAACAATATAATGATTCTTTTAGGTTATAACAATAAATAATTTCAGGTTCTAACAATTTATTAAAAAGAGTTTTTTAAGTAATGTAAAAAATCAATTTTGAAAAAAATAAAAAGATAAAAAAGAATAAAAAATTGATTTTGAAAAAAATAAAAAGATAAAAAAATGGATAAAGATGTATTAACTAATTTTGAATTCATTGATGACAATTGTTAATTGACATAAATTTAGGAGATTCAAACAAATTAGGAATATTTATTTTCCTTATTTCACTTAAATCTGTTAACATTAATTTAAAAAAATTAGATTTTATTCATTTTGTTCAAACATTTCTCTCTCTTTGATTTTTTTTCCAAAATTTGGCGTCACTCACAAATAGATTCAAATTTTTTAGGTTGAATAATCTTCATTTTGTTGTAATGGACGCATCTTATCTATATTAATTAAACATGCTGGTAGATGGAATCGTTCTGATTAGTATTCTTTACGATTTATTGTTTGTATTTGTATATTACTGAAATGTAAAAAAAAAAGAACAATGAAACTGTAAATGACATTTTCTGATTTTGTTTATGTATACTAGATTTAAGTTGTGATGTTTTTTGTATGAACATTATTTTGTTCATAATATGTAATCATTTTTGTGAATCTCATATAATGTTAGGACAAACAAGACGAGACTTTTTGAATTTCGTCATCCGGGCCTGAAGTCAGATCCAAAGTGTGGTGGTTGTGGGATTTACTATTATAAAGAGAGCTTAGTAACAATTAAACGACAAGGGAATAGTGAGCTCCATCTCAGTCGTTGTTTGACAAAAGTGTCGGCCAGATATTAAATTTCAATAAGAGCTTTAAGCATATTGGATAACATTTACTACATGTTATTTATTTATGGTTCATTCTAGCTTTAATTATGTGCAATATGAGATTATCGTGTGTGACAGTAGTGTTTTTATACTCTTAAGTTGTCGGTGATTGTGAGCATTTTAATTTTTATTAAAGTGGCTCATCCTAAGTGTCTTTTAATTAATGTTGCATCTGTTATTGACATTGTCAGACATAAAATTACCTTTTATTTTCCTTATAACTCCTGCATTGTTAATGTGAAGACAGTGGTCGAGGCAGCAGGGATTCCATTGTTTTGGCTTGTTGGATTG